AAGGCCACCTTGGTCTGTTTAAGCTAAAAAGGTTCCACCAATAAGAGGCCGTTTACACGTTGCCGGCTATTTTCATAAACGGACATTTCACCTTCTCCTTTTTCAAAAATTTCTTCGTTTACACTTACCCGTGTATATATACACAAGAGCATGCCAAACCTGTAGGTGGCAGTGTAACGAGAAGCTCAAGCCTTCCATGTATCCATTGTCACCATAGCAACATAGGTCGCACTTTTGACACAGGCAATAATGCCTTTTTCCCAAATTAAGCATTTTTCGATTAAGACATGAGAGATCACTGGGGTTTTGATAATATTATTTGGACACGTAAACAGCTCATTTGGACTACGCATCTCAATTAGGGTTTTTAATGCAGTTTGTGACACACGGCCTCTTGTCTGTTTCCAGTCAGCTCTGTCCATTGTCATAGCTACTTTGCACACAGACCAACTTGCTAACTGTTTGTAAGGCTGAGGGGTGGAGATGCATGCCCAAAAGAAAAGCTCACATTTCTGGTTGGAAGGAGAACCACACCTACTTCATAAAACATTACAAAAGCCTCAGATATGCACAAATATCACAACGCTGACTTTTTAAAGAAGGTGGTTGAAGGAATGAAAGAGGGAGGCTGTGTTTGTTCGGTCCAACAAGTCTGCAACCTGTAGGAAATTACATCCTATTTGATGCAAAGAGGCAAAATGACAAGCAGCTCCAGCCGTTCACTTTTCCATATTTCAGCGTAACAAAACAATATGTTAGGTAGGTCATGTTCATTGAAGTATGCAAGACTACATGTAAACAGGAATATCAGTGGAATATATGGGGCAGCACAGTGATGCAGTGATTAGCATTGTCACCTCACAGTAAGAGGGCTCCTGGTTCAAACCCCAGGTCTTACCCAGGGTCAGAGGGCACCCCGTGACCTCCAACAGGATAAGTGGTTACGGAAAATAAATGAAGAATTTTTTTTGGCCATGTAAACAGCTTAGTAGGAATATCACCTTTTTCAGAATAAGAGCAAAAAACAGAATATTTTGTGCAGTAAATTTAGTCATTGAAGTGAACCAGTGAGAACACTGCTGAACCATTGGCAACAGGGGCCATGACAACAACATTGTAACACTTCTGTGTATACTGTATATTCATAACCTTTTCTTAGAAGTTGGGACAACATTAAAAAAAAGTCACAACATGAAAGATCACATGTAAAGGTGATAATGTGACAATCATTATTTTGAGTCTTTCTACTGATCAGAATACAAACATCCAGTTTTGTCCAACTCTGCATGATGGCGTCAGCAAAACTGTTCCAGATATTCATGAAGACCAAGGCAAGAGTCGATATTTTAAGCCTGGTTGGTAAAAATTAAAGATAAATTAAGCACATCTCTTCCTTGTGGCTGACATGTAATTTGCAGCCCTTGCCAGCAGAGGGAGGCAGTGATCTATTGTGTTTGACTGGTTGGCTGGATGGATTCTCATGAGTGAAATATGCTGTTCGACCAGGATCACCTCAGGAGAGCTTGCTCAAGAAAATATGTACATAGAAATATTCATATATTCTTATATTGGCTTTAATTGATAATAATTCAATATTCTAAGTGTTTAGCCTTGACAAACCTTTGTCAAGTTGAGCCCCACACAGCCGAGGATGGACCAAGTCATTGTTCAGCAAGTCCCATGTAAGTCTTTGCTCTCAATTCCCAAGTCAAGTCCCAGATCAAGACAGGCAAGTCCCAAGTTAAGCCTGTCAATCAATCAATCAATCAATCAATCAATCAATCAATCAATTTTATTTATAAAGCCCAATATCACAAATCACAGTTTGCCTCACAGGGCTTTACAGTCTCAAGTCCTAAACTTTGAGTTTCGAGTCCTAAACAAGTCACAATGTGTTCTTAACCAAATGTAATGTTATTTTAATAACAAAGCAATAAAACATTTAAAAAAAATCACGGATGCTCTTTAAAATTTGTAGGGTATTTACTTTTTAAAACAAGTTTGTTAAAAAAATGGCAACTGAATCATAAAATGTAGTGCTGACATTGCATCTTCGTCACATAAAGCACTATTAATCATCACCACAATTAGCACATAGCACCCACATTAGCTCGCTAATTAGCCTCAACTTACTGTTCTTTTTCTTCAACTCCAAATTTCAAACAAAACTGGAAATTAATGTTCTGTGTAATTTTTTGACTCACACATTTCAAACACTGCAAATTGTTTTTTGTTGACGACCATGTAATTTTTGTATTTTTGAGGTTTACTGGACAAATCTAACTGGTAAGAGGCCGCGGGGCAGACCCAAAACACGCTAGAGGGATTACAAATCTCATCTGGCCTGGGAACACCTCGGGATCCTCCAGGAGGAGCTTGAAAGTGTTGCTGGGGAGAAGGACTTTTGGATGACCAGGATAAGTGGATGAAAATGGATGGATAGAGGTCTAAACTGAAATCACCACAAATTAACATAACCTTTTGAATTGTAAAACATTTCTATGTTAGCTCTGTATACACAGCTCACAGTTACATGTTGCCTTTTTTCTATACATATTTTTATGGTAACACATTCCAGCACATCATCAACAATTGTTGTCAGACTCTACTTCCTTACAACTGAAGCTGTTATCCACATACAGCCACATTTTTTTGTTCATCCTATTCATGTAAGTCGATCTGTATCCATTCAACTCCAAATTCACATTCTTTTCAGAGTTAAGTGAGGTTTCAGAGATAGCACTGAAAGGGTTTTTAAATTGACTTAAATATTTTTTTGGTACTTTGGAAGTTTGCATACAGATTCTGCTTTAAAAGTGAATAACTGACATTTTATGATGTGACTTGACCTTCATGCTGAACTGATCATCTGTGTAGCAACAGCAACTGTTGTTTTTCAGTGTCAAACTCATTCTCCATGTCTTATAACTTATGTTTAATGTTTTCAAAACATTTTCAATCCCAGTTTTTCATAGTCTGTATGAATGGCATCTGTGACAAGCATTGAGGTTGTTTACCTGCACATCAACATGCAGATTTCAAGTTTCACTTGTCAAAAGGGCAGAAGTTGTGTGTTCTGCTGCAGGTTTACATGCCGGTACTCTCAGGCTTCAACTGTTTTCAAAAATCCATTAAAGCTTGCAGCTGCCTTGACAAACATAATAGACCTACATCATGTTGAACAGCAGATGCATTGCAGTTTCTTCATGTCATGACTTCACTACACAGCTAATTGTCAAATTTAATAGGACTGTTTTCACTCTGAGAGAATGCTGGTGCATATACAGTTTTTCACGGGCCTTAAAAGAGAAATCACACCAGTGAAATAGCCATGTGTAACTTCTGGTCTTCAGCTTTTACAAGTAAAGACAGAAATAAATGTCACCATAGTGGGACATAACCTGTTGGCCTAAATATTAATAAAAAAGTGGGCATGTAGGCTTGAAATATTTGTCTGTTTTGTCAAGTTCACATTATACAATTTTTCAATTTTTAAAACTGAGCATAAAACAAATCAGTTTTGCTCCTAAAACTTGTTCTGTACCCACAAATATGTCCCTTTTATTTTTTTACTTTTTATTTCTTTTTATATTTTTTTACTTCCCTAATTTATTGAATAAAGATATCCCAAAATATGAATCCTAAATTATCAGAGGTGGGACCAAGTTATTGTTTCCAAGTCACAAATACCACTCAAGTCTTTGCACTCAAGTCCTAAGTCAAGTCCCAAGTCCATAACTTTGAGTTCTGAGTCCTAAGTCATAATACGCTCTTCACCAAGTGTAACACCATTTTAACAACAGAGTAATAATCATAGACTGCATAAATTATGGACATCATCCATTGGTTTGTGGACTCCTGTTTGGAATCCTTGAGTTTGGCATTTCAGCCATCGCCATCTTGTATTTTTGGAGGCAGAAGTGATCATATTTGGATGAGAGGTTGGAACTGTGGAGGAGTGAGGGTTGGATCTGACTGACAGACTGTAGTGATGCCTCACAGATAGCCTGTCACTCAAGCGTACCTGCTCTTAAATATGTGTAACGTTGGGCCTTAATAAAATGTAAATGGGTGAGTAATAAAAAAATGAATCCCCTGTACACTTGGCATGAAAGTTGAAATTTGCTATAGAGACCAAAACTGTTTTTTGTAGCAGGCTGTGAACATCTTTATTTCTACTCTAAAGATAGACGTTTTAACATGTGGGTCTATGTAGATTTACAATGTTTTGGAGCCAGCCTCAAGTGGTCATTCGAAGAACTGCAGTTTTTGGAACTTCCATAGGGACTTCATTTTTTCAGTCCCAGAATAATATGCTAAATTTACCAAAGAAATAAACTCTTTCTATGTTTCTTTTGTATGTTCTCCTGCAACTGGATTGGATGTCATCAGATTTGTTCAAACAAAGTGGATCTGGAGAATTAAGTGTCAACTTGCTGAAAATAGCCGCAATGTTAGTGGATTTAGGAAATGAAGGAAAATAAATTAATTTGTGGCACACCTTCATACTTTTTAATCTTTAGGGAAAGGTATCAAATATTTTAATGTCAAAAAACTCAAGTCCAAGTGAAGTCACTGGTGTTAAAGGCCAATTCGAGTTGCAAGTCTTGATTGACTGATTGATTTTGTCGAGCCTAAAGTCATTAAATATGTGACTCAAGTATAAGACTTATGACTCGAGTCCACACCTCTGTATATTATTATTATTAAAAAGGTGTGTCTCAGGAATCTAAGTTCAGAAAACAACTTCAATCAAGAACAATTTGACATTTAATTTGACATTGCAGTTTACAGTTACATTAAACTGCAGTCACATTCATTTGATTGTGTCCTACAAATTTTCTGAAAATTATCTTATTTAATTGCTCTGTTATGTGGGTCTACATGAGCATACCAAACTGGAGTAAAGATAGGCTTACACTATTAAATAGACACAAACCATTCACTCACCTACAATGCAAACATGTAGACTAGTTATTTAGCAAATAAGACATGTTCCATTATTTTCTGAACAACAACTTTTATTGAAGATGTTTGTGAAGTAGCTTAATCAGCACTTTATGTACAATGAATCAAAAATAGGTTCATTATTATCATTGTCATCACACCAGTTTGCATGGATACATATTATTAAATGACAATATTATTATACTGTATGTTTGAACAACAGTAATAGTCTAAATTTAGAACCAATCTCCAAACAGGGGATGGCAATATGAAAGAAAAAGCTTACCTTGGTGCACATTTTCGCTTCATTTCAACTCAATTTGTAACGTGACAAAGTAACGAAGATAATGGTAAACCCAATCCAAAGAAATCAAAAAGTCTTTGATTCTGCACATTACATATCAATGTATGAAATCAGTATTGTCATTCTAAAGTATAAATTGAAAACCTGAATGATCTCCATGGAAATCAGATGTTGTTTATGGGAAAAAGGTTATTGATATTATGCTGTACTGTATAATCTTAATTTATATGTTAACACTACTTTTTAAAGAAATGGTTCAATACTGAGAAATATTCCCTTTCTTTCTGAGAGTGAGATAGGCAGATTAAGACCAATTTCATGTAAATGTGTTCAAGGTATATGGATCCCCCCCAAAATCTATATACCTATACAAAAGTAATTTCTGTCAATTATCACTTATGACACATTAGAAGTGTGTGGTGTATTTATCTGCCCTCTGCCTGCATTTTCTTATTTTGCTGTGTTTAGGACATTTCTTTGCACTCAGGTGAAGTCAGGACTTTATAAAAAGGCAGTGGCCAGGTGTCAGACCATAAGCAGCAGGCATCAAAGAGGAAGCTACGAACATTGCAGACACAGCGCCGGAAAAATGCATATATAGCAAGGCAAAACACCAATCTGAGGTTGGCTTTCACCTTCGCTACTGTTTCCTGCAGAGTATACCTTTAAGTATAGCTCTATTAAGTCAGGACATGATTAGCCTAGCTTAGCTTAAACACCGGAAGTAAGGGGAGAGAGCTACTCTGGCTCTGTTCAAAGTGGAAATAAATGTCTACCAACCATAACGGTGAAGATCCACTGAAAGCAAACCAATTATGCAACATTGCCTTTGCCACTTCTTGCTCATTGCTGTGAGCCTTTCAGTGCAAGCAAGCTAATGAGTTGGGCAGTAACGCTTTACTAGTAATAATATTACTTTTTCCAGTAACGAGTAGTGTAACTAGTTGCTAATAAAATTTCAGTAATAATATTACAGTTACCCCCAAACAAAACAACTCGTTACAACGTTACTTAAGTTATCACATCACAACTGACTTGAAATTAAACAATCACTTTCACTTTCATTTTTGTAATCATGCAGCTGTGCACGGATGCCTCAAAGCAGCAAGCTAGTTTGGAAGATGGAAAAGCTTACATTCTGTGGCTGGAAATAATCCCAATATTTTGATTTTGTCGAGTGGAATGACAAGAACACTATTGCTGCAGATAGTGTCATTAAAACTCACTGCAAAAAACGCATCCTCAAACCTCCAGTCTGAAACACATACTGTGACTGACAGCACAACAATGTGAAGCTCCAGGAAATACAACTCACCAAAGGTGAGTCCTCCTTGGCGATGGAGGTCAGCTTTAGCCTTACAGTTACTCAACAACCAAAACTGGATTTTAACCATGGATAGATGCAGCTACAAAGAACTAATGACACTTGTGGTTGGATATGTGGAGAATGAAATGTTGCTCCATGAGTGAATCTCTGTTTTTCAGGAAGATCCATGAGAAAATACCGTTTACAGGCAACCCAAGACCCCCAGATGAAAAAAAAAAAAACATAATAATAATTTGCAGCCTACCTGACTTTAGCTTTACTTACCAGCGATTACCCTGATATTCACACAGAGGCATGAGAAGTCTGAATTTATGCAATTTAGCTACCAGTTATTTGGGGTGTAATTGAAAAGTGAAATAAAAAGTAGTGCAGTGAATTACTGTTAACAGGGTGTAATAAGTAATGAGATTTCTTTTGAAAAGAGTGATGAGTATAGAGTGATTGTTTCAATTTTAGAGTAACAAGCCCTACACTGGTAGCTTCATTAGCAAACAGTGTATAAATTAGCAACCTATGACATACTTTAGCTGTTAACATGATTTTTCACCAAGCAGTTAGTCATTGCTAAAAAGGCTCAACCTCCTTTTTCCATCACTATTACTTTTTCCTTTGTCAGTTTTCCTAAATCACTATGGAGCATCCAGGCAAGTGTCGCCCTCATTTGTATAAAGTTAACAATGCTTATATGGATAAACTATTGTTGTGCAAGTAGTAGTCACATCCCTAAATTTACAAATCCCACTGATTTAATTTCCCACTGAAACTTAAGATGTGTTTGTGGGTATATATCTGAACTTTGTCAGGCTAGCTGTTCCCCACTGCTTCCAGTCTTTATGCTAAGCTAGGCTAACCACATCCCCCTCTGTACTTGACACACAGACACAAGAATGATATCAATGTTCTCACCTCACTCTCAGGGAGAAAGACAGCCTATTCTTTCCAGGGCCTTTTATTTAAGGCACATTCTGATTTCTTATCTCAGAAAGTTGCATCAGTTCAAAGAGCAACATTTTTGGGCATAGGCATACTCTGATAAAAGCAAATGCAGTTGTTTTGCTGTGACATTCAATTGTAAGATTTTACTCTTAATAGATATCCCATAAATTCAAGCATTGCTTTTAAAATGGTGGAAGGAGACGTATAGTGTATAATATACATAACACAATGTAACATCTGTGGTTACATGCACTTAATGGCACTAGCTTCGCATTGATTCCCTCTGCTTTCTGAGATGACACTTGCCGCTGAAAGTCCTCAGGATGTGAGCACAGGATTAAAAACTGTACAAACTGCTGCTGGACTGTTACTGTTGAAGAGCTAGAAAAATAATCCGGTGGCCCAGCCTTTCCAGGGGTAGTGAGGTGTCCTCTGTTGGGTAAATAAAGGGAGGGTCATATTAAGTGTACAGAGAACAGGGTGGAGGCATCACCAAAGGTGTGAGTCTGACAGATGTTGAAAAGGCCAGCAGGCCCCTTATCTGTCCATACTGATACACACACACACACACACACACTGGTGTCTTCAGATCGAAACCTCGTATTCTCTTGTTTCCTGTGAAGACAATAAGCACATTAGGTCACAGAGAGAGAGAGCTGCTTACACAGCAGGGGTTATTAAACATTTTCCCTAACCCCAAAATAGATTAACATCAGACAATCAAACCTAATTTATATTCCAGTGAATTTTAGTGAAACTAAGCCATTACCCATTTTGTAAGGGAGAGTTACTGTCATTAACAGTCCAGTTAAACAACACAATCTAATCCCTACTTGTCATATTTTGCCACTTGGGCAGAAGCCCCTGTTATTACTATATTAATGCCGGGGGTGGCCTTTTGCATTATATCTTGATGCAGATAGAGTCAGCAGTAACAAGGGGTCAGTAATTAGGTTTAGGCAACAAAACTACTTGGTTATGCTTAGAAAAAGATAATAGAAGTCATTAATAAAACACCCAGTTTTGAGTAGCACAACGCCACAACTGAGGGCATTGTTTGTTGGTCTTGAACACTGGTCTCCTAGGTCAAAGTCAAGTGTTTGTTGGACCCATCCACCTCCTCTCCCACCCACCCCTGGGACACCTGCTAAATTGGGAGCACACCCGGTTGTTTCTGTTGGCTTGGTACTGCATATTAAATTAGTAGACCATAAGAAAAGAATAAGATAAGAATATGGCAGCCTGATCCTATACATCTATGACACTTTAACTTGCAGTTTATGCAATGCATTTAAAAACTCACCTCATTGTTCTTCAGGATTGCCAGCATGGAAGAAGAAGAAAAATAATAACTCGTTTTCTGATGTAGATTAGTACAACCCATTTGGTATTTAAAAAAACTAAAAGAACTACTAGTTCTTACAAACGTAGTTGTTAACATTTATAGTAAATAACTTTTATCGTCATATTTGCTGAAACTGTAACTATATTCACACAGCAATAAATGAGACAGATAATCTGTTGCCTTGTATCACTTCTGATGGCATTACCACATTTGAACAAATATAATCAGAGACGAAGAGTCTCTTAGGCAGCTGTCAATCACTGTTAGTCAACTGTGTCAAAACTAGGCAGCACTGATCAAATACTAATCAAGACTCTGTTACTGCATTGCCTATTTCTTAAATCTTTTCAAAAACATATTTTAGTGACTGTTAACCTGTCAGAGTAAACGAAACGTGACGTAGGCTAGCACAATGCCACTGTAAACAGACCAGCAAGCTGCAGCAGAGATGAGCTGTGATGATGTCTGGGAAAGAGTGTTGCTGTCTTTGAGGATTTCCTCCTCACTGTGGACTCCGAGTTGCATGGCTGTGATTCCCAGCTTGGTCGCTTCCCTGACCTGCTCCTAAGACAGAGGTGAGTGGAGTCTCACACACGCTTGTTTGAGGGGGAGAACGGGGGTCATTGGGTGTTGGCTGCATTGGCGAGACGTCACCACTACCCGCTTGAGGGCGGGTGGCCTGGTTTTTGAATCCAGTCCTGAGAAGGTCCATCTCTGGCACGGCTTTAGCGACAATGGAAACACAAAACGGTGCAACATGGCTTTACTCGGCGTGGCCAAGAGTGACAATTGAAAAAGGGTACATCTATGTACTTCTTTCACTACATAGTGACAGATTCCGCAAATATAACAAAAAGTTATTGTCACAAAAGTTACCAACTGTAGCTTTAATTATAGATAAAAACTGTTATTCAGATGGTGGCTCAGAGGAACTTGTAATTATTCAGTATTTTATATTTGTGTATTCATTTGTGAGGTGGTTGCATGTTGCTCAAATGTACTGTACATAGATATTCAGTTTCAGTTTGGCCCTGATGTACACACACACACACACACACACACACACACACACACACACACACACGTCCACACGTGCACGCACACACACACTATGAGGGGTCAAATATTTCACCCAACCACACTACAACGCGTCACTTGCGCCTACTTAGGACACATCAGATCTAATCAAACCGCGTGAGCGCGCGCCTACATTTTACATAGGGTTACTATGGAGACACGAGTGTTACATGCACGCCTGCTATATGACGCGCAGGCGTTGTTCGCTCCACTCACATGACTATGAGGGGTCAAACGTTTCACCCAACCACACTACAATGCCTCACTTGCGCCTATTTAGGACACATCAGATCTAATTAAACCATGTGAGCGTGCGCCTACATTTTACATAGGGTTACTATGGAGACACGAGTGTTAAATGCACGCCCGCTACATGATGCGCAGGCATTCGCTCCACTCATATGAGACGCTCACAAGTCTTTTCAGGATGCGCGCACAGCAAACGCCACACATACACTACACCTGCGTGTGCATGTGAATCTCGCACACACACAGTGCATGTACACATCATTAACACCTGAATGCATCAAATTAGGCTACTTTGGCAAACTGTTCCCCACTGCTTCCAGTCTTTATGCTAAGCTAGGCTAACCACATCCCCCTCTGTACTTGACACACAGACACAAGAATGATATCAATGTTCTCACCTCACTCTCAGGGAGAAAGACAGCCTATTCTTTCCAGGGCCTTTTATTTAAGGCACATTCTGATTTCTTATCTCAGAAAGTTGCATCAGTTCAAAGAGCAACATTTTTGGGCATAGGCATACTCTGATAAAAGCAAATGCAGTTGTTTTGCTGTGACATTCAATTGTAAGATTTTACTCTTAATAGATATCCCATAAATTCAAGCATTGCTTTTAAAATGGTGGAAGGAGACGTATAGTGTATAATATACATAACACAATGTAACATCTGTGGTTACATGCACTTAATGGCACTAGCTTCGCATTGATTCCCTCTGCTTTCTGAGATGACACTTGCCGCTGAAAGTCCTCAGGATGTGAGCACAGGATTAAAAACTGTACAAACTGCTGCTGGACTGTTACTGTTGAAGAGCTAGAAAAATAATCCGGTGGCCCAGCCTTTCCAGGGGTAGTGAGGTGTCCTCTGTTGGGTAAATAAAGGAATTAGGCTACTTTGGCAAACTGTCTGTCTCCATAGCTTACACGTGCAGGCAGGCGTGTGTGTGTGTGTGTGTGTGCTTCGCAAGAGTGGAATGAATGAATGAATCAAGTCGCTGCAGACATACGCCTGCATATACACACGCATGATTTTTTTTGTAAATTTTATTTTATCCTCACAAATCAGAGCTACTGACCACCCTCGATGTCTGGCTGTGGTTTAAAAATATGCTGCAAACCTCCATCTGTATGTTTTTAATCAATATCTGTGTTTTCATAAACATATTTTTCGCATTTTGCCCTTTTGTGAATTTGACTGTTTATGGAAACAGCTTTTCAGACATCCTAAAATGGGTTTAAATAGGTTAAATTCACTCGGACTTTCGCTGCCAGGTTGAGAGCGGGGAACACTCAGCGCTGTTCATGCTGATGTCTTGTCAAGTCTTTCCTTACTTGTAAAATCTAGATTTATATTTTATTCCTGTTTGCTGTAAAAAGCCTATATGCCTGAGGGACATTCAGTTTTGGGATGACGTAAAGTAGGCTAGAGATATTCCGGATATCCACGGATTTGGGTCATTCAGTTTTAATTATTAGGCTAATTAATAGCGTAATAGGGTACGGTTAAAACCAGCAGACTTCTGTGTACTTTCCCAAACTATAGGCTTTATTGTGTGTAGAACCACTTTCTACAGGTGGCGGCTGGCTTAACTCGCCAATAATGTGCTGAGAAAAATGTTTGAAGTCCAAAAAAAGTAATTTATCACAAAAAAGGTCAACAAAACAGGTTTCAAAATTCAACTTACATTTTGTTCAACAAAATCTTCATAATGACACCTTATCATTGGTTACTTTTCTTTCAAACATGTTTTTAAAGATGTGCACTCCACAGACAGAAAGCACCGCTGGAGCGAGGTTTTTGAGCCCCTGGAACTTCTCCACCTACGCTGGCTGTCTCCCCCGCCCCCCCATCCCGGCTGTGAATGCAATAAAGGTGGCTTCGTCGGGCACTTTACAGCAGCTCCGCTTCCCAGAGCCAAACTGTTGCTCCTGATTAGCAGTTAGCATAGCAAGCTAGTTAGCATAGCGATGCTACGTGTCACACGTCCATAACACGAAGCGTTGTTGCTTCAAGAGCTGACACTTTTGACCCCTGTGATCACATGACGTGTCAATGCATGCACGTCTAATAACCACACGTCTAGGTGTGTCCAGGCATTGCACACGCATTGCATGCAAGTACATGGTGAATGCACGTGCAGTGCACGCGAAGAAAGTACACGGTGATGGTTGCACACGCAATGTACACGTATCGAGAATGCAGTGAATGCACTATGTGTGTGTTCGCTGATACGTTTCACCCTTCACACACGCACACACACACACACACACACACACACAGACCAAACTGAAATCTTCGGCGATCACCTGCCCCTCACATTATTCGATTTCACCTGCTTGACTGGGTCGTGGAGTGAATAGAGGAGAGGAGAGGAGGGGAGGGGGCAGTATTGCGCATGCGCGGCTTCTGGGTGCGTTTGATTTGCAACACAAGACAACGAGAGTAAACTGAAAGAAGCGCATAATCTTTTTATGTCGATTATTTTGTTTTCATAATAGTTGAAAGCCCAAATCGTAATCTAGATTAAAATATGATTAAGCGAGCAGCCCTAGGTTAGCCTGGTGAAACCATCCCAACGTCCACAGTGAGGAGGAAATCCTCAAAGACGGCAACACTCTTTCCCAGACATCATCACAGCTCATCTCTGCTGCAGCTTGCTGGTCTGTTTACATTGGCCTTGTGCTAGCCTACGTCACACGTTTCGTTTACTCTGATTGGTTTTCCGTCTTTCCAATTGCGTGAAGGGGCACTTTGAGTGACAGCCTTTGATACTGCCCCTCGGGAATAGAGGAAATATACACTCCGTGTCCAGACCCATTCGCGTTATGCGAATTGGGTCAGGCAACGCCAGGCTAGTCCTAGGTGGTGGATGTATAACAAAATCCCATCTTTCCCCTGAAGACATGTTCAGAACTGTGTGAACTTTGAGTCATTTAAAGGTACATCCTCACCATGTTTCTTTTCCTAAACCTAACCACAGTAACTTCATTTGCCTAAACTTAACCTCCGTAACTTTACGTTAATTGCATAATTTTTACACTGAAGATGTAACGTCATATATGGGGCGCTTATTCCTAGGATATCATGCAAACTGTTCTATGAGAATAAGTTGACAAAAGCAATTTGCAATCACTGTGTTCCTGCTCAAACATTACATCTCCAGTGGAATTTAGGCTAGATTAGATCTACAGTAGGTTATGCGATTTTGGTGACTAACCTGGGTAATTGTCATAAATCTCTTTTAGGCAGATTTTATTTCCCTAAAGACTATCTGCTAGAGCCTAATGCTATCGTTCTCCTTCTTGCTGCTTCCTCTCCTCTTTCTGTGTCATGGGGATTATGGACCATGTATGGTATTGTTCTCACACTAAATCTGGAACAATTTTGAAAAAGTTGCTGCTAGCAAAACTAGTTTTTTGGTTGGATATCTATGTAGGTTTATACATATATCAAATAGCTGTCAAAATCAAACCAAAAAAAATTTAAGTTACAACCTTAAAGATCTCGGTTTTATTCTCTTTGGCAGCACCTATGGCAATAAGTGGTAATTCCAGTATGTTTGTTGGCAGACTGCCCATCACTCTGATCCAGATTAAATGTATTGAACAACTGATCCTTCTACAGGTTCACCTGTGTACCTTGTTACAACTTTTACTTCCTCTAGATAGTCAAGTTTGATCGGAAATGCACCTGGGCAAAGAATTCTTGAGAACTATTGGGCTTCCATTGACTCTCCAGCCAGCTGTGCAATGTGTATAGCCTGGCACCAAACCCTGCCATCAAGTATGATGCACACAGCAAATTCTACAGAACCCCATGCTCACTGTGTGTCAGTTTGTGGTTATTTGATTAAAGACAACTTTATTTATGTGCTATATGAGCAAAATATAAACTAAAATAATCAAGGGCATAAAACTAGATTTTTGACACAGCAGTCTTCCACAAGAAAGAGCCACATTACATTACAGAGCAATGTAGCACCATAAACCCTAGTTTATTAAATAACCCAACTACATGTTGTACTTTAGTGGTGACTGGTTATTCTGGCCATGCTCAAACCAGCAGTCCGGTGATGTTGGACATTGGGAGAGAGAGGGAATCAGGTACACGGGAGAACACAGGAGATGGACTTAAGTACCGTTTCCACCAAGCAGTGCGGTGCAGTTCAGTTCAGTATGGTACCACCGGTTTCCATTTCCACTGTAAAAAATGGTGTACGGTACCAATGGAACTGTTCCTTACCATCCCCATATTTGGTTGCCCCTCTTTTGGGGTACCTAGAACACACATCTGGTACTTAAAAGAATACTCCGACAATTTGGGAGTTATGCCCTTTCTCTATCATTTTCATAGTGAGACAACATTATCGATATCTTTTTTGTGTCTGTACGTCCAGTGGCTGGGTCTCAGCCGTTAGCATTGCGGCTTAGCTTAGCGAATACAATTGAAGTCTATAGGGGGTCAGTAGCCTACTTGGTAAAAGTGAACAAATAAATGTTACAGAAACCCTGAAGCTGGTATTTCTACACGTGCATTTAAAATAAACATGTTTAAACATTAATTCGAAAAACGAGAGTCCTTTTTAGTCATTTTAGAAGAAGTTTGATACACGGAACTATAGTGTGTTTATGCCCTGGGCGGAGGGATACACCGGTGAGCAACAGCTGCAGCTGGCTCTGAGACAGGTACGCTAGGTCACTTGGTAAAAGCAAACAAAGAGACGACACGGACGATATTACTCACTCGACTGAAAGCTGTCCATCAGCTCCTGCAGGCCTGGGGCGTTTTTTCCAGTTTATCTTAGGAACATGAAAAAAAGTTTAAATCACGCCAGGATTAGTGATTGCTGCAAAGTTTTCACTCCTTGTGATGCACTCTCTGCGGCAGGTTTCCTCCTGATGATATATCTCTAGCCTCCCCAACGATGGTAGCACCGAATCTCATTCTGTGCAGCAAAATGATTCCACCTCCGTAGGCATAGGTTGGCAAGCCCTGCAGCTACACCACCAGTCCTCCCCTGACCTCCATCTCCCCTCGGCCCCTTGCTGTTCCGCTGCCTCGGGGGATTCAGCCTCTCTTTTCACCCACTTAGCATCCAACACCTGGAGTTCCTCATCTGTATACTCCGGCTCAAACAGGTATGGCTCTGGATCTGTGTCCACTACAAGAAACTCTTCAAAATTGCGTTCAAAGTCGTCCATTGCAGATTCTATGGTCCGGAGATATCGTTAGGCTAAATAAACAACTGAGTATTTTACAGGCTACGTCTGTGCCTGTGCCTGCTCACCGGTGGATCCCTCCGTGGATCACAACGCAGGACGTAAACACACTATAGTTCCGTGTATCAAACTTCTTCTAAAATGACTAAAAAGGACTCTCGTTTTTCGAATTAATGTTTAAACATGTTTATTTTAAATGCATGTTCAGAAATGCCAGCTTCAGGGTTTCTGTAACGTTTATTTGTTCACTTTTACTGAGTAGGCTACTGACCCCCTTTACACTTCAATTGTATTTGCTAAGTTAAGCCATAATGCTAACCGCAGAGACCCAGCCACTGGATGTACAGACAAAAAAAAGATATCAATCATGTTGTCTCACTATGAAAATGATAGAGAAAGGGCATAACTCCCAAATCGTCGCAGTATTCCTTTAAAGGTGGAGCTAGAGCTAGTTGATTGGTCAACAGAGGACACTCTGCTCAGGGCTGAGTTGTGGCAGGTTTTGAAGCTTGTGTAACCACTGTTCATATTGTGGCAAATCTTAAATTAGTAAACTATAACTACAAAATGAAAGGATGTTTTGCTGCCTCTCACAGCAGCTGTAGTCTGGGCCCACTGCTGGCAACTTTTCAGGTGGAATGTTTACTTGTAATGTTACTCAGTGCATGAGCTGACACTGTGAATCCATCAGCACACCTTAAATTTTACAACTTCGACCATTCCATTATTTTTTATTGTCTCCCTTGGATGACAAACACTTTTAGTAATGAGTGGATTAAAAATATATATTCATTTCAATCAGATTATGTGAACTGCATATATTCTAATCCTCACTTGGAAAAAAAAGCGTTGCAGATTGTCATTCTTGTGGGCTCTGGCAACACTAAACCCCTGAGCTTGCCTGAGAAGGATTAAATGCACAAACCTGCTATTTTTAAATATCCCATGGAGAGAGACTCTCACTGCAGCCTGTTCTATTTTGTTCTGAAAATGTGGTCATGTAACCCCATTCTGTGGATGATTAACAAGGTCCAGACTTCCCTCTGTGTCACTGGTGATGAGGAAATACAGTGAGTGCTGGATGGAGTGCGGTGGAAATGCTAAGCAGACCTAGGGTCTAGCTACCATGTCTGAAGGGTTACTGTTGTTTCCAAAGGTCCTAAACTTAAAGTGTTTGGTGAAATGGGCCTTTGGAGCCTTAACACAGCAGACTAGACCCTGCACCAGACCCAGTCACAAATTCCCATCACACAGCCATATGCAAACATATGCCATCCATGTCACAGACTGACTGACTATGCTGACTCACCGTTGTCTCATAAACTGAGTTGTCAAACGTAGATTCTCCGGTGATATTTTCATATGGTAAGCTGGAGGACAGGGAGAGGGGTTTCCTCTGAACCCTGGGCACAGACAGAGAATACATCCATAACAAAGATTCAAAAATATATTCTTCATGATACTATGTAGGAAGTCATTATCACCTTGGAGTAATGGCACTAACACTCATGTAGTGAATACACCTCCTCAGTACAGGAAGACAAATAATAGACTATACCTTTTTGAAGTCTTTTTGCTTATCATCATACAGTATGTTCTGGTTAGGTCACACTTTGATCCTTGATCCTAATCCTGTGCTAGCTATTTTTAAAATGCAGTTGACTAAATATAGATGCCTTTGCCTCTCTTTGACTATCCATTCAGACAGAAACTGTCCAAACCTGCTCTTTTGTCCAAGACATCAGAAAATAATGTTTTTATCAAAAGAGATCAAATGCACCCTGCAGGAGACTCAAGAGACATTCAGTAAAACATGGTGTCTATTTATTTAATATCTTTTTCTCTGAATGGGATGTAGTGTTATGGTGCTTCACTGCATACTTTTCTCACCCTTTGACATACCTCTGCACTTGCTTTAATAAGTCAGTTTTTGTCTCCAGTGCAGTCAAGATCAAACTGTGGGCTACCCCAGTTAAAATCCTATGTTTTCTCTCACATTTGACAGAAATATTTTTCTTTTTTTGTGACTTTATCAGGATTCTGTGCTGGCAGTCTAACTTGTACAACATTTCCAGTGCTAACAGGGAGAGGTCCTCGCCAGCTGTGATGGAGGTGTTGTGGAGGTGGATGGTATAATGAAGGATCAGGAACACTTAAGTATGAGCAAAACTGGAAGACATGTATCAAAACCTGTGCAAACAAACAGCATATTGGAGGAAACGGCAGAACAGGGCTACATGGCTATAACAATGCTGCAACATCAATAGCCTGCAAGGTACATTCATTGAATTTTTGGGGGCATTTGGGGGTAAATTTTGTAGCCTTATTGCTTAGTTGTTTTGGCCAAGACATTATCAGACAGGTACTGACTTACTGTGGCACACACAGAACATCAGTACCATTCATTTGGAGTTCATCTGCATGCTTGTCCAATATTCACTTTCCTTTTAACTCTGGTTTATATGGAGCTTCTAAAGTCCCGAAAGTTGATTTAAAAATATATTATTATTATTATTATTAATTTATCTTTTCACATAACATAATTATCTTGTGGGAATAAGTCACAAGATAAATATTTTGTGCATACAAGATGATTAACTTCTTCTCACAAGATCATACAGTCATTCATGAGAAATGGGACAAAACCTTTATTTTTGGGGGTTTTGATTTTTACTCTTCAATTAGGCTGGAAGATAAATTTTACTAGATCAAAATCTTGACTATTTAACCTTGTAATGGGCCAAATTCCCAGTGATTTGATTTTTTACTTTGAATAGTATACATGAAGCATGTCAGAAGTAAGGGGTCTCCCAGCGGGCAGAAATACGCCCGCTGGGAGCCGTTCAGCACTGCGGAGAGCTCCCCACACAACCCGGACCCCAGAGTTAATAACATGAGGTTATGGTGTTTCATTCTCTTCTCTCTATGTCACTTTTATTTCTACCAGTAGCCTACTTTTGTTGCGTTTGCTGATCCTCTATGGTACACAAATACAGTATAGCCTAGTATAATCACATATCAGAACAATGGGATGTCGGACCAATGGGCTGTCGGACCAGTGACATGGACCCAGAAGTAAGAGCTGACGGAGTTGATGTCTTAGTGAGTAGTCATTTTAATTTTCTAAGTTACTAAGAGTTCTCATAATGCTAATTAAAATACTTATTTTTAAACCATCATTCTTATTTAGTTTAGTGCTGACCTCTTTTTTTTTGAGACACACCTAATGGCAAGATTATTTACTGAATCTATCAAAAAGTAGAAAGCTTACCAGTATTTGAGCAGCATCCCCGCCTTTTTGGAAACCAGGAAGTGAGACAGGAGACCTTTGGATATAACTCCTTTCATGCCTGATTAAATTATGTTTTTGTAGAAATCTGACAGAGTTGACAAAAATCTGGGACGCATCTTTAAAGGACCAACATGTTCATTTAAAAAAAATAAAATAACAATAAAACATTATAGCAGATGATTATATTATATTATATTATATTATTATAAGATGATTATAGCAATACATTTTTACATTGATCTTATCAGTATGTATAGCAGTATATATAACAGGCTTTTAACACATTTTTGTAATTATCTGAAGTTGAAAGCATGTCAAAATATATTATAAATCCCATTTATTTCATATAAAGAAACCCTTTAAAAATGTTTCTCCCCAGAAACGTAATTAGTGTGTTGATAAGCTATAATCTATTTATTTATTTTCTTTTTTTAATCATGCGAAGGGCCCCAGGTTGGAATCCAACTCAGGCCGCTGCTATGGGCTCAGCCCACATGGGGCACACACTCTATCTGGTAAGCCAGGGGTTGCCCCGATAAGTTACAATTTAATTTTTTTTTATTTTTACGTAGCACATGATTGATTTGTCACAATTCTCAAGAATGAGTGAATAACTTGTGCGCACAAGAAAAAAAGGACTGCATGGGTTCCGTAGGTTTGGACTCCAGCAATCCTGAGAAAAAGGTCTGACTTCATCAGCTAAATGCTCCACTATGCTCACCAGCTAATCGTTAACTTTGTCTGTCTGTTAACATTTATGGCATACCTCTCAGCAATATTCAAATGTGTATGTATCTCATATTTATCTTAATGTCAGTACATATTTTGATTGTTTTTTTTTATCTTTGTGTACTATGCTAACCTTTTCATAGTTATTTGACAGTTGTTTAGTTTCTTATCTCACAAGCACAACACAATTTTTAAGTAATCATTTGAACCTACTTTGACAAGTAGAGGTAGATCCCGATGATGAGGATGATGAGGAGGATGATGGGGATGAAGACAGCAAATGCTACCTGGGCCCCTTCCATTCTGAGGTCTGCAGTAGACACTATTGGATAAAGAAAGCAGACATTTAAATACATTCTTTTCAGACAGGTAAAATGTTATCATTCCTTTTGTTTAGAGCAAACTCTTCTGTGTGTGCACATCATGTTTCATAATTCTCAGTTAACTCATTGGAAACCAATCAGCTAACTATAACTAGGCAAAATAAATTCAGGTTGGTTTTTTTAATTGGTGAAAACTTTAAATATTTTTAGGCACAAATATCCATTAGAATCTCCTATGCTTTTGAATACTCAAGGTGTGCAGGTAAAACAACCTTCTTGGCATTACTTACCATCTAATCCATGCTCATCATACTCTGCTGGGTGGGCTGAGGAAAACACAGTAGCAACGTTAACATTAATGAATTAGCAGCTATCGACTAACTTACTTACTTATTCTGTCTGACCTTTTTTCATAGATGTAAATTCAACAAACTTCATCCCCTTGAAATGTTGAATAACTCAATGAACCAAAATGTGACAGTAATGTGTACCTGTCCCTTCAGTAAACTGAATAACTTTGAGTTTCACTTGGGCCTCATTCTGAAGTGAACATGTTGAGAACAGGAAAATAACTTTTGTAAGTGCACAAAATATATTTTGCGGTGAAATTACTGTTGTGTAAAGAATTATTTAATTTCAGCAAACAAAAATCAATCATTTTACCAAACCACTGATTTATGCATGTGCTTCTATCTACAAGTGCACAAAGATAAGCAGTTTGTAGAGTTTATACAGTTTTGGTTACCTAGTTTTATGAGCCTTTATTACATTTTATTAGTAAATCTTTAAAGGTTACTTTTAAAGGCTGTCTTCTCAACAATAGTTTGCTAGCTTGATGATTGCCAGCTAATTTACACAGCCTAGGTATTATAATCATTAAAGCTGGCATGGGCACATACTGGAAAGGGAAAACAAAGTGGCAGTATTTGAAAATATACCTTTTTCCTGCAGCTGCCCCCATGAATATAAAGTCATAAGTAAGTGTGAGTCCACCACTAAAAGGATCCACGGCAGCTGGGCTGTGACTCATCAGAGAAATCTCTACCAAAAACATATTAAAAACATATCTTCACTATAGCACCCTGACAGGTATCTCCTTGAGTCAAGATGTTTTGTGTGCTTTGATCAGAGTGCAGACCAAGCTAAAGGCCACTCTTTTGTTATTTCAGCCTCTAGACTGGAACAACCTTCTTCAAAGTGTCAGGACAACAAAATCCACAGCAATTTAAAAAAAAACAAAAAACACTTTTCCTCTGCAGCCTTTCACTATGACTGATGTGTTTTTCACGCTTTTTTGAAACATGCTCGGTCTTCTTTGTTAAGCTTGTTTCTTGTTTGTTAAATTGTCTTTCAAACTGTCAAAGCGTTATGGTGGAGTCACTAAATAATAAAGAGGATTTCAGGGATCATGTGACCGTCCACATACCCACAAGAGAATGAATAAAGTATTGTGTATGATGACATCTTTGAGACAGTGTAAATAATATAAAACTTAGTGCTACGGTGTCATAGTTTAGGAAACACAGAAGCTGCCAGGAAGTATAAGGAAGCAAGGAGAACTGGTGTGAATGGCTGTTTGTTAAAAAAAAAAAAAAAGTAAAAGCAAAAAAAAAAAAAAAGAAATAAAATAAAATAAAGTGATTGTTCTAAAAAGGTGACACCAAAAAGTGCACGGCTGTGCATCAACAGTCAGAGTGCAACCACCAGGGCGAGGGGACAGCTGAGGACAACGACACTGCTGACAGTCACTGAGATGAAATGTTCATTCATTCAGCCAAGACCAGAGAAGGCAACTGCCACACAGGCCCAGAGCCCCAAAACTTCAAAACCCCAAAAACCCCAGAACCCCAGAACCCCAGACCTCCAGATTAATCTGGCCAGATCTCACCCAAAATCTGCATAAATTCAAAAGATGTTTCACAGCGCACAGCTGACAACAGACTAACTATACTGTACCTCATAGTGAAATTAATACATAATACCAATGAACTCCTAAAATGTAAAATATTACAATGAACCACTGAAACTCAAGTCCGTATTACAAAATGTTATATTTGTGCTCATTTAAATAATAGAAACTATCATTTCAAAAGTTTTTTAGAGCAATTTTATACTTTTATTATTTTTTTATTATTATATATTATAATTTTATATCTATATTTTATAATAAAGAATTTTTAAGGATTTGAATTTAGGTACATATCTATAAATGTAAAAATAGAAATGACTTTTAATTTTTTAATTTTACAATATATTTCATTTTGAAAACCATGTACAGGTGAAACCACTTATAGTGATCATGTTCTCACTCCCAAGTTGTCAGATATTGCTGCTTTGTCAGTGATTTCGGCGTCAGACACAGACTGTGGACGTAGCTTCCGTTACATCACCCACTGGTTTGTGAATTGCTGTTTTGAAGCCTCGAGTTCATCATTTCAGCCATTATCATCTTGTATTTTTTTGGAGCCAGAAGTGACATATTTGGATGAGAGTTTTGAGCTGTGAAGGAGCGAGGGGCGAATCTGACTTATAGACTGTGGCAATGCCTCAGAGACAGCCTGTCAGTCAAGTGGCCCGCCCTTAAATATACGTAACTTTGGGCCACAGTAAAATGTAAACAGGTAAGTTATAAAAAAATGTACCCTCCTACAGTTGTCATGAATGTTGAAATTAGCTATGGAGACCCAAACCAGGCTGTAAACATGTTTATTTCTGCTGTAAAGTTGGGCATTTTAACACTGGAGTCTTGGGGGATTGACTCACTCTTGGAGCCAGCCCCTAGTGGCCATTCAATGCACTGTAGTTTCATGATATAAGGAGCTGGAAAGTCCGCAAGGTGGGCAGGAGGGGAGACAGATGGGTCAAATAAACCCCAGACCTTCTCCCAGGAGGCTGTTGTTTGCTTCATGTTGAGCCAATGTTTTTTTTCTGAGCCTAACCATGTGCTTTTGCTGCACTAGGAAATAAATGTAAGTATGAGGTGTTTTACCGATGTAAGTTTATGTCATAGAACACTTTATGCATCTAACGAGCAGAAGCTGTACATTTCCTGTAAAAACAGAGGTGTATTTTGAAAAGAAACAATGCATGTAACAGGCTTACATTGACACAGCATCTCAGAACGTCAGCAACAGATGAAGGAGGCTCATATATCATGCCATATGTAGACGTGAAAGTGCACTGACCTAGTGGTGATATGTCATGAGTTGGGATGAGAATGTGTTGTTTTATAGTGATCAACTGCTTGTATGGATCAAAATGCCTGGGACAGAATCCTTCCCGTACAAATGATGTTAAAATAATTTAATCAAGTATTACATCTTACAGTGTTCATTTTGGGTCTTTCAAAACATAACAATATATGGAAAAACGTTTTGTAACTACAGTAATACTATTTTTTATTTACATATTTATATATGTACACGCACACACGCACACACACACACACACACACACACACACACACACACAAACACAGTCACTTGTAATTCATAATGTAACTTTTCATGACTTCCAACCTTTTTTTCTTAAGGGAACCCTTTTTCTATCATTGAGTAAACTGACAACCCCTGAGTAAGTGACATATTTTTATGGATATTTCATATTATATTAAATGCATAACATTAACAGTACAGAACAACTGATTAACTGCACAATTAACCCAAATAGTGAACACATCACAGCAGGAAGTTTGTGTAAACTGAGTGATTTGAATTCATATTGAGCTGATTATTTCCTGTGAATGTTTGACCCACATCAGAGATGAGTTTTGGTGACATATTTAGTAAGAGTTCACATAAGTCTCTGTGAGTTTATTTTATTTTATTTTTACGAATCATACATGCACATAGGCTTCTTTTTTTGACGCTTACACATTGTTGCATTAGCTCTAGTTGAATATAGCTTGTGTTCAGGTCTTCACCACGCCCGTATCCTGTGATATTTATTTCAAATTTATATCTTGAATAAAAATATAATCTTCAAAAATAACAATTTAATGTAGTTTTCTTCACAGGAATGAATTCTGAGATATAGGCCTACTGTTTACTTGTTTAAAAAAAAGAATTCTTACACACCTTAAGATCAAGAAGGCCTTGCGACCCCCCTTGAAGCTATGGCGACCCCTAGTGGGGGTTGGGACCCCCAGGTTGAGAACCAGTGAATTAAATGACTTAGTTGGCTCGACCACCAGATTTAAGTAGCTGAGGTGAGCTATAAAAAGTACTGAATTATTCAACAATGTATTGGCACATTTATGTATTCATCAATAGTTATTTAAGATTTTACAGATTTTTGTATTTTTCATTCCTCTAATTAGAGCATGTATTTTATAAAGCAGACATTTAAAAAGGACCCTATGGACACTGTATAACTGAAGTTAACCCGACAATGCAGTAAAGACATCAGGCCATACTTCTTTACCTTTGCAGACAGGTGGCAGCCCACTCCACTGTGATGGGTGTCCAGGGACACAATGGAGAACAGGCTCCCCCAGCAGCTGGTGGCCAGTCTTACAGGAGTAGTGGAGGGTCTCTCCTGGCTGGAAGTGGAGCTTGTTGGAGCTGGGGATCCCATAGGTGGGTGTTCCTGGGTGACTGCAGGGCTCGAAAATCTCAGCTGGGGTTAAAGGAGAATAACAGTTCAGACTGACAAGACTGTGTAGGAAATGTACAGTACATTGGAGTCTGATATGACAATGTTCTATTAATTACGTTTCTTTAAAATATTTTTTCATATATAGTGCAGCCAGTAGACGATGGTACTTCTGTCTAAACTGCCATCAAATTAGGTATGGATATTCATGGTCTGCCCGAAAATGACTTTCTTCATCTCTTCATCTTTTTAAGAGCATGACTATCAAGCTAATAATTTCCATTTCTACACAAACTGTCAAAATCTAACAGGCAGATTGCTATGAAATGTGCTGATCCTCAAAGGATATGGGTTCATATGAGAGTCAGTAAGATTTTCAACACTAAGGTTGTATACCAGCCATTGTAAACAGGTGAAACAATGGTAGAGAAAATTCTAAATATATTAATAAATTGTAAATAACACCCACACAGACATTTAAGCTATGAGGTTAAGTACTAATTTTGAAACCACTGTCAGAAATTGAACCACTTAATTGTTTGTGTGCCCACTCTTCGCACCTCAGTTTCTACATACAATGGGTGTGACTGACAGATTGTTTTGGAAAGTGACAGAAAAAAGTGACATCATTGCATCTGCCACAGACATCAGGCTGTTAGAAAAAATGACAAGCACTTTGTTTGGAGCACAGAGGCTTCTAAAGGTCCTAACACACCAAGCCAATGGTTGGCTGTCAGTCATCCCACACCATTGCTGTTGTCTTTACTTTCAGCCGATTACGCTTGTTTAACTGGCGTCAGCATTGGCAACGGTGGAGCCTGTTGATGAATGAAATCACTTTTTCACAGTTCAGCTCAGTGCACGAGAAAAAGCTAAAGCCAAGAGGGTGTGAAACCAAAACAAACTTGTTCCATAAGGACAGATTATTTTTTCCTTAGCCATTAAGTACTTAAGTACTTTAACAGAAATGTGTCCTGATGGTTTGTTATTGTTCACTGGTGCACAGTAAATATGCTTTGTTCTTTCAACATTAGATTGTGTTGTTAATGTATTAATTGGCTAACTAGCAGTGCTTAATTTAAGCCAGAACGTACTGGAACGCAGACCAGGATCTTTTCAGAAAAGGCCCTGGTGCGTTCCGGAACTAATCTGCATGGGTCTAGAACTTTTCACATCTAAAAACTACATACAGTATTGGCTGACGTCACTAGTGTTGCAGGGTGGAGTACCGTAGTACTACGATGCCTCACGTACCACTACTGTGGGTTAAGTTCAAAGTCCAGTCGCAAGAGGGTGAGTGTCCATGCGCCGTCCAATAATGGCACGCGCTGGTCAATAACGGCGTGCGCTGGCCACCTGGCACTCAGTATGCTGCTGTAGTGGTTTGTTTTCCAGACGTGAGTATCTTTGAGCAGTGAAAGCTATTATTTATTTCTTTTTACTTGTCGGCAGTGATTTGTTTTCCGCAGAGCTCTACGTGCGAGCATTTTATTCGCATTTGCGACTAAAAATAGTCGCAAAATAAATCATTCAGCACGCTGTGCGAGTACAGATTTCAACCAGCAGCAGAAACGAAAGGCCAATCCTGCCGGTTGTGGGTTGAACAGGGGTCACAGACAGGAATATGGCGGTCAAATAGCCTACGGCAGCTCTGCGGTGCAAGATAACGGCTTACCGGTGACAGAGAAGTCCGACTCCAGGTCCAGTAGCCTAATTTCCTCTTTCCTTGGTGTCATGACTGCCCAGTAGTACCTGGACAACCGAGCCATGGCGGCACACAGGTATGTGACGTGTCAGAGGAGAAACGAACCGTTCACATTTCTCTCTTTGTGGCAGGTAACGGCCCACAAACCTCACCGCACTTTAGGGACTGTTCTTTACTTATGAAGGGACTGTTCTTTACTTGTCAGGGGAGGAGGGTGGCTGGTTGATTTTTATTTTATTTATTTATTTTATTTTGATCCCCCCCTATGTTAATCACTTATTGATGATGTTTTTGAAGTATGAATAAGTCAATAAGTAATTTATTCCATTGAAATATCATTGATGTATTATAGAAAAGTAATTTATCTTTTTATAAATGACAAAAGGCACATCTGCCTCATTTTTGCTGTGGTATCGTGATACTACTCAGAACCATTATGCTTTCACTGGTATCGTACCGTGGGTCCCAATTTTGGTACCGTGACAACACTAATTGTCACAACCATTCCATTTGTTGCGCAGTGAGGCGGCTCGGGTGCCGCTTAAAAAAGTGCTCCCCCACTTTTGGGAGTGGGGGAACACTGCTCTCTCAGAGGCCTAAAGTGTTCCCCTACTTCTAATTTTACAAATTAAGCACTACTAACTAGCATCAAGATGATCCTCTGGTTTCCCTTTTTGAATGATGATTACACACTACTGCCATCTACTGGTGCAGAGAGTTATTTCCTCTCATGCATGTGCAGAACATACGTGCTGGTTGGCCGTCAGCTGTAGTCTTTGCGTTGTGTTCATGTTCAACTTTTTGGCCAAGACAAAGGTGACATGAGGTGACACATGTTGCTGATAGTTCTTTGAAGTCAGTTTAGCATGTCCGGGCCTTAAAACCATCGGCCCTTAACCTGAATCCACTGTAGGGCTCTCCTACAACTAAGCACAGCTTTGGTGATTTGGAGTTCAAAGTACTTCTGAATGAATGAATTGGCTTTGGTCTGCAGCAGATCCTTAGAATACAGTCACTGAGATGCTGCTGAAACACTGACATTATGTGACCTAGATGACAGTTTTAACCAAGACAATTAGAAGTCTCTGACCTGTAGATCACCAAAACTTATGAGCTTGCTCATTTAATTTAATTGTGCCAGTCAGAACTGGGCCCCCAAATGCAACAGTGATCAGCATGGAAGAAAATGGAATAATGTCATGTATATCTCAGTCTTTCAATAACCCAACGCAGGTACGTTGAAGGAAAGTTGCATTAGGAAATAAAACTGTGATATCTGAGGGACAGTTCAACTTTCACACAGTGACGCATAGTTATCTGCAGTAGTCCTGAAGCTAAGTAGAATTTTTGGATGACCACTTCTGCATTTTTTTTGGACACAATAATTGCCTTTTCCTCAGGATCTCCATCTCATGCATAACAATGACCCAGCTTGTCTTCTCCAAAGTAATTTCCGTTGTCCTGCTAAATTAATTATTAGTCAGTGCCATTGAACAATATGTCTCCACCTAGAAAAGAGGTGAGGCAGAGTATAAGACATTCATGCAAATGAGGTTAATGTCTTCAAGGCTGTTTGAAGAGGAAATTATATTTTAATCAGACTGACGTACTTTTAGCTAGGCAGCTTTATCAGAAAGTGTGGAAGTGGAAGGAGGTCAAGGAGGTCAGCTGGTGACAATCAAATCACAAAAAGACATTCTCATCCCAATTGCTAATTAAAGAAATTAACTTATTATTATTATCATTATTATTATTATTATTATTATTGTTATCATTATTATTATTATTATTATTATTAAAGGTTATATTTTAAGTCAGAACTTTGAGCATTTTTCATACATTTATGCAGATGTAGACAAGATAATAAGATTTGTTCTTATTCACACATATATTTAAGTCAAGTCAGTAACCGCTCATATTTTGTGCTGATATTCCATATCTTCAACTTGACAGCTGTATAATAACACAGGTCATTTTTGTCAGTTTTAAGATACATAGATTTAGGCCATCATGGGACAGTGAAACCCTTCACTTAAAACCAGGCTAGTTAACTTCATTTAATGATAGTAGGTCTTTATCAAAAAACATCATACCCTCTGGGGGCTGCTAGAGAGGGCATTCAGAGGTTATGAAACAATATTCAGAAAGCCTGTGGTTGCATATAACCCTGTGTAAACCTGTGAAACATTTCCACATGGGAAATTCAATTTTTGTTGATTTGGAGAAAATATGCGTAGATGTAGAAAAAAATGAGCTAAGTCTCAAAAAAGTTTGAGCTTAAATTATTTTACCAATGAGCAGTGCTGGACCTAGCACATTCGGCACCCTAGGCGAGCGTCCCCTGGACACAACAAGAGCTAATGAGAAATCAGCACAGATAAACAATGTGTAAACTTGGTAAAAAAAACTAAATAACTAACTAAATAAATTGCAAATTTTGTCATCTTCTTTTTTCTCTTTTTTTCCTGTTCTTTTTGCCTTTTCATTTTCTCTTACTATCACACACTGTTGGACAGCTTAAGTTGAACTGCATTGCCAGGGCTAGAGGTGGAGCTAATACCAATCATTAACATAAGATCTTTGGATCAGTTGTTTCCTTAAATTAAACAAAACTAGAAAGAGCACCTTGTGGTTGTGTGCCTCAGTGAACCCAGTTTCAAACAGCTTTTTAAGTCCCTGAAGTCCCAGAAGATACCTTTTTCTAAATCAACACAGCATATTATCTTGTAGTAGATAGGTATACACAAAGCAGTATTATCTCAGTATCTTTGTGTAGTCTCAGTGTTGATAGACTTTGCACAAGTGGAGATATTCATACAAATGGTGCACACTTTCAAACAGTCACTCTTCAGAGCCATTCATGATGTTGCAATGATGGCCTGTTGCCCCCGCAACCCGGCCCCGGAGAAGCGAATGAAAATGGATGGACATGAAAAGTGACAGAAGTAATTATAATGAGTGCTTGAAAGAGAAGTTTCAATCCTGCCTACAACACACCTCCAAACACCTGGGGCCTCATGTACAAAGACTTCGCGTCAGGGTCGACTGGCACAGTCCAGATTGGTCGGCCAGCTCCCTCTGAAATGCCCCTGTTGCTAGGAACCCCAGTGTGGTCAGCACCTGTATGGATACAGGCAGCACATGACTACTCGCCGTGTCGCGCTCCAAGGCCGGCCGCAGCTCTGCGCACAGTTCCAGGAGGATTGCCCTCAGGAACCTAACGACAGAACCTCGCGGTGTTGTTCTGGGGGTGGGGAATGCGTTGGGGAAACACTTAATTAAAGGATAACTTCGGTATTTTTCAACCTGGACCCTATTTCCCCATGTGTATGTGTGCATATGATTCATAGGTACAATTCGCTCTAAAATTGGTTCAGTATTGAGGGAGGCGGATGCAGCCGGGAGCCACGAAACGAGCTAAAACGGTAACGGGAGCAAATGCGTCCCGTATAAGTTTGCGCATTAAAAGTGCTTTTTTTTCTCCACTGACCAGTTCAGATCGCCAGTGCTATCTCTGTAAATAGCATAGTAAACGTTTCCCTTACCTCTGGGCTGTGTGTGAAGTCATCTCGCGAGAGCTTTGCTCCACTGTGTCTGTAGCTCTCTCTACTTGTGGGGCAGGAGGAAGAGGTGTTTCGGGATTGGATGTCTTCTCTTCTTCGGCTGGCATTAGTCATCTTGGGAGAAGTGAGCACTGCAGACCCAATGGTCTGCAAGGCGCAGTGTCTGGACAGGAGTGTTAGCATCTATTTGTAGCACAAATAGCCATAACTTCAGCATCTTGCCGTCCGACAAAGGCAACCTATGAAAGCTGTACAGGGTGTTGCACGACATCCCGTTCTTGCAATTCGGATAAGCACAAACACGAACCATTGTTTTCAACTCAGCTGTACTCTGGGACAACCAACGCCACTCGGAGCGGCGCTCAGCATGGCTCCTCTGTTTTCTTCCGGCAACAAGCAAAGCTCTCGCGAGATGACGTCACAGCCCAGAGCAAGTGAAGGGTAAGGGAAACGTTTAGTATGCTATTTACAGAGATAACACTGGCGATCTGAACCGGTCAGTGGCAAACAAAAAAAAAAAAAAGCATTTTTAACGCGCAAACTTATACGGGACGCATTTGCCCCCGTTACCGTTTTAGCTCGTTTCGCGGCTCCCGGCTGCATCCACCTCCCTCAATATTGAACCAGTTTTAGAACGAGTTGTACCTATGAATCATACGCACACATACACATGGGGAAATAGGGCCCAGGTTGAAAAATACCGAAGTTATCCTTTAAAACACGAAAAATAGCTTGTGCACCCGGCCTAAAGCAGCCAGTAAATCCTCTCTGTCTCTGAACACACGCTCTCTTCGTATTGCTCTCTTTGTATTTTACAATGTCTTCTAATACTGCTAAAGCAGCCATTGGTATTTTCTGCACCACTTTGCTAATGCTTTTATATCTACTCATCTAATTGCAGACATGTTGGTGTGTTAATTGTTCATCAGTGTTAATTGTTCATGTGTCTCTGATGTGCACATCACTCTGAGGACTCATTGTTTTCACAATTATTTATTATAACAGTTTCCCAGCATCACCTCTAAGTGTCGTACGCCAGCCATGAAGTTGGCATCACTGCACATTTCCACGGTCATTTCACTCTTGATACATCTGAACAGTGCTGTGGAAAAGGACGTACACCACGTTTTTGTGTGTATGTACCTCATGTTGTACATGAGGCCCCTGGTCAGTCACTGCAGAGAGTGGGCGGGATTGATCAGACAAGTGCTTAAAAATTCAATAGAATTTTAGTGTCTCATGATTTTAAATTCAGTTTGTGGTGTCACTGTGTGAGCCTTAAGAAACACTAACTCATATACGTACGCAGGCATTTAGGCAGCTTCTGGTTCCACTTGGGGCCTGAGGACCCTCGATTGAAGCAGGTGAGCAGGCTGTTTCCAGACAGAATGTAGCCCTTGTTGCAGATGTATTGGATGGTTGAAGCCACAGTGAAATGGGGTCCTGACAGCACCCGCCTGCTGTGTTCCACCTTTCCAGGGTCGGGGCAAGACAGAACTGTATGGACAAACAAAAAATAAAAGTTGGGTATTGTCAACTTTGACTTAGCTAGACAGAGGAGTATTACTTGAAGGGGGAGCCATTATGCTTTTCTGTATTTTGTGTCTAATATATGGTGTTACAATAAAGGATGTTCATATTAAACATGGCCAAAGTTTCAGTTAATGAGGTAAACACATGTAGAAGTAATCCCTGTGAGCAAAAACCTCAGGCTTTCTACTGTTCTGAACACTCAGGGTGCATTCCAAATCATATTCTTTTTCTTTTTACTTTAAGTAGGTACTGCAGCTGCCCTTAAAAATGTACGTAGGCTACTGTTACATGCAATATGCACACAATCTGGACATACTACTCTAATAACATTAAGCCCTGAACTTTGACCCTCTTACTCATATATGCGTTAACATGGAGATAAAACGTCATTCGCCGAGCTCACCAGAGAAAGAGGTCAACCTGGACAGCTCTGATATTGTTATTTCGCAATAAGTATGACTGCATACACTGTAGATTGTAACATTTTTTATTCACAATGGTAAAATTACATAGGCTATAAATACACACACACACACACGTATATATGTACATTTCTCTGTAATTGCTATTTAATACTTGTGGTCTTTTGTTGTTTGTTATTTTACTCAATTAAACAATTATCATTCTGACACTATTACTAATCGACTGATCATCAGTCACCTGAATGTTCTTGTCTTTTCTTTATTTTTCTTTTCTTTTCTTTTCTTTTTTTCTTTTCTCTTCTTTGTTAAATAGTCAGTAGCAATCTGTAACAAAATTAGCGAAAGCTTGGGTCCTCTACCTGAGGCCTAGGAGTTTGAGGGTTCTGCACAGTATCTTAACTATTCCTAGGACCGGCTCTTCTGGAAGGAGACCTCAGATGTTGTACCTGGAATCTGCTGGAGCCACTTTCCCAGTTTGGGGGTCAAAGCCCCCCACGCTCCGATTACCATTGACACCACTGTTGCCTTTACTCCCCACATCTGTTCTAGCTCCTCTTTCAGCCCTTGGTATTTTTCAAGCTACTCTTCTTCCTTTTTCCTGTTGCTGTTGCTTGGGATTGTTACATCTATCACCACGGCCTTCTTCTGTTGTTTGCTGATCAGCACGATGTCCAGATGCCATCACCAGTTTGTCAGTCTGGATCTGGAAGTCCACAGGATCTTAGCTCGGTCATTCTCAACCACCAGGAGGTGTGTTTCATTCTGACCTTGGGACTTACCATACAGTCTCAAGGTGCTGGACTTCGGATGAAACCCTTCATGCATTGTGAGAAGCTTTGTTGTCTTGATATCAGTGGCCTCTATCTCCTCCTTTGGCCAGCTTATTATACCAGCGGGGTATCTGATGACTGGCAGCGTATACATGTTGATGGCTCGGACCTTGTTCTTTCCATTCAGCCAATTTTTTAGGACCTGCCTTACTCTGTGTAGGTATTTGGCTGTGGCTGACTTTCTTGCAGCCTCCTCATGGTTCCCATTTGATTACAAGACCCCAAGGTATTTGTAACTGTCCCGAACATCTGCGATGCTGCCCTCTGGTTGTTCAACCCCTCGGTTATGATTGTCTTCCCTCTCTTGGACACCATCCGACCACACTTAACTAATCCGAATGACATTCCGATGTCATTGCTGTAGATCCTGGGGAGGTGGATCAGTGAGTCAATGTTTTGCTCACTCCTGTTATACAGCTTGATGAGAGGAAATGATTGATGGTTACTCCACTGCAGAACTGGTAACCGTAGCCACTGTTTGTGGCGAGTTGGCTGAGGGGGTTCAGGTTTATGCAGAACAGTAGCGGGGACAGTGCATCACCTTGGTATATGCCGCACTTGATGGTAACTTGCAATTGGCTTTGAGTTGGCCTCCAGAGTCTTTTTCCACAGCCCCAATGAGTTCTTGATGAAGACTCTTAGTGTCCTGTTGATGTTGTACATTTCCAAGCATTCCAGTATGTATGTGGGCGGCATTAAGATGAAGGCTTTCTTGTGGTTGATCCAGATGGTGCACGCGTTGGTCTGCCTGGTCTTGCAGTCGCGTTTGACTTCCCCTTGCCGTAGCATGTTTGTTGTACCTCAACAATGGATGTTGGAACACTAGGCTAGGAGTTGTTTCTTTGTCAGTGTAGATGCTGGGTTTTGAAACATCCATATATCCCATATCCTGCTCTGCATGTAGCCCCTCTTGCTGGGGTTACTTGTATAGTAGCATTCCAACAGTCCCATATTCTCTACTCTAGTCCATCTATGGATTGTTCCAGTAGTTGCCTCTTATACATGACATGGACCTTATGACTCTTGTTTTTGTGTTACCTGCCCTGACCAGGATTTGAACGGGATTTGAATGCTGTCTCCAGAGCAGTCTCCCGCGCCACTGAGCTATCCAGCTGCATAAACTATTCAATTAAATGAATAATTTCTTATTTTCTTTGATACAGGTATGCAATGATGATTGCTGGGTAATATGTATGTTGATGTTGCCTTAAGTCAAGTCTCTATTTAATCATGTGACAGGATGATACAATACAGAAGCTACTTTAGGTGTAAAATCTGTCAAGACTGACAAGTTGAGCACATCTGCAAGTCCAGTGAGCAGTCATACCTTTTAAACTGACAAGCAGAAGTAAGAAAGGAAAAGACAGAAACGAACAGGAGGATAAAGTAGCAAAGCACCCTAAATTAGATTACTTTGGCTTTTTTATAAACAGTTGCCAGTGGTGTGTGTGCACCTTTATAACTACGTAGTAATTACAAGCACTGGGCACGTCACAATAGCATGCATTGGGGCTCGTGGTAGCTACCTTATGCCATGGTTGGGGGGACCAATGCACTTCTAAATATTGAAGGGGATGTGTCCTCTATGTCCCCTCTGAAATGTACACCTGTGCTCTCAAATTCAATTCAAGTTTAACTGGTGTATAATAATAATAATATCATAATCAAATCAAATCAAACTTTATTTGTATTGCACTTTTCATACATTAAAAATGCAGCACAAAGTGCTTCACAGAATAAAAACATACAACAAAAATACTACATACATAATTGTATAGTTCTGCAGTGTGTAAATTTGCTTGTTGCTTCGTCAACTGACCACCCAGCATCAGACACCATGATTTTCCATATACCCTCTTTTATGTTTAGGTCAAGTAGGGATGCACATTAATATTGCACGTCATCTGTGGCGGCTGATATTGGCTTTAAAATGAAACATCGGAATGGGCCAGCATGCTTTTTCTTATTTTGCACAACAAATGAATATTACATACATTGAAAAGCATTGTATTTCATGTCTCCATCTGCTGGTGGGCCATTGTGATAAGAGGGTGCATGCATATCATGTTAATTAAACCACAGAAGAGCCTTGATGCTCACTAATATTAGGCAGGGACAAAAGTGGATATAGCAATTTTGGTATCAGTTATCGGCCAAATAAGTTGTTACATATGGCATATCGACAAAAAAAACAATATCATGCATCCCTAGTATCAAGATCTCTTAATTTTCACAGTTGCTATTCAGAGTTTTTGCCACGATATTATAAAAACTGAGGCTGATTGTGCACTCTTTAAATTTAAAATAGGTTGTTCCCATTTTTACTTAAAATAACGCCAAACTATTTATGCAGCTCCTAATTTGTAGACATCTCCAAAATTCCCTTTTATCATCTTTGGAAGGATTGTAAAATGTCTGCCCGACACATTTCTTATATTGTCATCCAACCATGATGTTTTTTTCCCTATTTAAATTGACAGATTGTTCCAGACTGAAGAATGTCCTTGCTTATATTTAATGACAGCTTAAATGGTTTTATCCAAAATCATATTGCTGTGTGTGCTTGATGCTTTTTTGTGTGACAATGCCTCTATTGACTCACAGGGGGCAGCAAGCTCATTTTCTTTCTGTGTCTATGTATTATTGCATTATTCCAGGGCTTTGCCAACTTTCCACAGAAAGTCTCTAATTAACTGATTAAACTGTTTAAAAATCAGTGGAAAAATGCTAACTGACACCATCGCTGAAATATTATTAAACTCATTTAAATAATGCTCATCTTTCCAGATACATTCCTGTATCTATCCATCTAAACTGCAGTGAAATAATTATCTCCCAATGACAATCAGCTCAAACTTGCTAATTAATTTTTATCTTTGAATATGTTTCAGATAAGTGACGAAAGGGCTGAAGAGGATAGCCACAAAATGTTGTCCTTATAAAGGAACTTGTGCTCTCTTCCTCCAGTTCTGACCCCTCGAATCCTTGGGTTGGATCAAATTGCCACTGCAAGTGGATGCTTAAAAAAAAAACTTGTAAGAACTGAAGCCTGTGGTTCTGCATATATCACCGTAATACAATTTCTGAATCTGCTTTCAAATCCAAACGTTTCCAGAGTATGTAATAAAAACCCTACTCTACCTGATCAAAAGCCCTCTCCACACCTCCAGAAAAGGCAGCAATCAGAGTTGTGCTCCCTACTTAACACATCAAGTGAAGCAATCTTCTGAGGTTATTGGAGGAGAGTCCTCCACCCTCACTACTGTGTTTCAATAGTTACCACTGTCCCATAATTGTTACCTGAAGCCACAGCGGTTGCAATTCGGCAAAAGTATTTTAATCCACAGGCATTTCAACAGCATTACCACAGTGACAAATGAAAGTATGACGTTCACAGTAATGAATTACCTCCCTATAGAAAGCTGTTTGACTGCTAGTTTATTTTGATGACTTTTGAAGGCAGAAAGGAAAAAAATACACATCTTTTCTAGTCTTTAATTTTTCTTGTGAAACACTGGAAAGTTTGACTTGCAGGAGTCTAAAAGCACTTGCTCTTTGGTTGTTGAGCATAGCTTAAAGACACATGCAACCTTGTGACCAGGGCTCCAAAGTAAATATTGGTTGGCTACAAAGGGTCATATGCTAAAACAGTAGCAAACCAGTGATTCGAATTTAAAAGTTTTTCGCATAATGTGCAAAATGTTCATGATAT